TTCTTCTTCTTCTTCTTCTTCTTCTTCTTCTTAAATTCTGCCTTTTTACCATCTCCCATTACCAATTTACCACTTACTCCTCACAATGAGACCTACACTGACTTTATTTCTAATGGAACCAACAAATCCTTGTGGTTGTGGTTGTGGTTGTGGTTGTTTTTAGCATCTCTCACAAGTTTCAGCTTATTCTGAGCTTTCGTTTTTTTCTTGCAGAATTCTAATAGTTTCTGGAGACTACTTTGTATTCTTCTTCGGTTCCCCTCCATCTATTTCCTGTACATAGCCCTTTTTCTCTTCAGCTGATATCACAGATTCAAGCATAATACAATCACTTTCCCCACCTTCACTTCTTCAACCAATTCCTCCCTGTTGGTCCAGGGTAGCAATCCCCTTGTTGTTTCTTCCACCTTTTGACAAATGAAGTGGTCAACAAGAGAGAACAAGAATTTACTGAATTTCTGACTCTTGGCAGAGTTAGATTCTAAGCAGATGTCAGGATAATTCAAACCCTCCATTATTACTAGTGCATGCCTCTTGGAAAGACTGTTTGTTTCAGAAAGACTGTATCTGTATTATCTGCCAGTCCAACTGGTCTATAATAAACTCCTTCAACAGTATCACTTTTGTTTCTATCTATTTATTCTTATCCAAACACTTTCAACATGATTTCCATGCTCTGATTCCTGAATGTTACTGCAGGTTTTGTTTTTGTTTTTTTATGTACAGTGCAACACCTCCACCCATTCTCTTAAGTCTGTTTCTTTTGAATTAAATTGTAGCCTTCCAGTGCCATTCATAGGTATCATCCTACCAGACTTCAGTGATGCCTATTACTGTACATCATGTTTGTTTCCCTGAGTTATGGTCTCTAGTTCTCCCTGTTTATTTCCCATACTCTGTACACTGGTGTAGAAACATCTGAGACTTTGAGCACTGGTATCCCTGTTGTAGTATCCTCTGAAACTTTGAGTCCTCATCTTGGCTTCCTGCTTCTCCCTTTGAGTTCTGTTTTCTTAGCTGCATATTTAGTTCTGGGCTTTCCTCACCCTCCCCATTTGTTCTAGTTTAACCGCCTCCTGATGAGACTAGTAACGTGACTGCCACATACTTCCTTCCCAATTTCTATAAGATGTATCCAGTCTGTTCCCAGGAGTTCTTCATGAAGGTGGCATAGGGCATTTTCATAGAATCCAGACCTTTCTTGAAGACAGCATTTGCATACTCAGATGTTGGCTTCCAGGATCCTGTTTTTCCTTGTTGTGCTATGACCCTCAGTTGGAAGGGCTGATGAAAAAATAAGTCATGTTTATCTTCCTGCATCATAGTCTCCACAGATTCTTTTATGACCTCTTCTGGCAATGTCATTTGACCCTACATGGATCCAGAGGAAAGGATGATTGTCAGTGGGTTTTAATAGTCTTGGTAATTTCTCCATTACATCCTGTATACAAGGCCCTAGAAGACACCTCCAGTGATATCATATCAGATCTGCACACAGCTGCACCTGAACAAACCATGCCACAGAACATTGTAGAAAACACTCGAGTCTCCAGTTGAGTACCAATTCCTGAGTTCCTGTGGACTCTATTGACGTGCATGCAGATATGTGGTACTTTTAAATACTTTCCAAACCTTCACAGGAAATAGAACTATATGAGAAAGAGCATGAAGTTTTGCCTGGTACATCACCATGCCTGACTGCAGCTAAAATATTTCATTTCTCAGTTCTTCCCACCTATCACTTCCATGCAAGAGGAGACATGGCAAATACATAATTAGCCTTTGAGTTCCAAGGGAAAGTGAGAGTCAGTCAGGTGACAGATGTCTCAGTTTTGCCAGGATAAGTCTGATTCGGGGGAAGCATTCTTGATCCTAGCCACACCCT